ACACACACACACACACACACACACACACACACACACACACACACACAGTGATTTCTGCACTAGATACTGACTTTTTGGTATTTCCTGCTGGAGCTCTGTCTGGGTGGAGTTCCATCTGGAAGTGCCAGAGTTTTCCTGTTTGTGCAGTTGATTTTCAAAACCTTAAATAAACTCTGTTGTGATGTGTTCAGAATCATGACAACTCAAAGGCTATTTATTAAGTACCTACTATGAGCCCGGCGCTGTTCAAGGGGCTGGGTAGATGGTGGTGACCTCAGCAGACACCACGTTCAGAGAGCTTTCGGTCAGGTCCAGGACACTGATTAGTAAACAGGCACTCACCCTCCACGTGGTGAGGGCCATGAAGGATAAAGTCCAGGGTGCTGGCATGAGAGGTGGGGTGCAAATAGCAGGGGCAGCGAACCCAGGCTCAGCCTGACAGGGCTGGGGCGGCAGCGGGGGGGGGGGGCTGTGGGTATGCCAGCAGAGAGCCAAATCCAGCTAAACTGCACCCAAAATATGAGAAACTAAATTTTGTAGAATCTGTTCTCATTTATCTGCAAGTCGATCCCTCCCCTCCGTTTGCAAGGAAACTTTTCTGAGCCTTCTTTTTTCAATAGCTTGAGGATCTCAACTCCCTCTGCATCTGTTGCAAGTTAATACAGGGGCACCCCGTCTCTTGAAGTCAGAGACACGGACCCAGGAGGGGAGGGAAGGCCTGGGACTGGGTGAAATGTTGCATTTCCTGCTCAGGAGGAGCAGGGAGAAGTGGGGTCAGGTGGGGAAAGTGAAGGGCTCCCAAGCTTCCAACAACTCAGGTCTTTATAGGGAAAAACTTCATTATTTCATGTGAAGTGAATTTTAGGCATGTCCGGCAGGCCCATCTCTAGTCAAACACCAGGTAGGCAACAAAAGTATATTCCAGAGCCACTGGATGTAAATGACTTGTGTATTTTCTCTTTTCAGAGTTCTCTGGGCCATTGTTCGCTCCATTTGTGCAAATAATAAAGACCAACTTCTTGCCAAAAGAAAAAAAATAGGGTGTGGATGGAAAACAATACAAAGGATTCTGTGTGTCTGGCCAGACGGAGTTCCCTGTGATTAGTCCTGGATCTAACTTTTGATCTCTTGGTCAGGCAATAAAATGCCTATTTATTTAATTTTAAAAGAACTCTTTAGGGCGTCTGGGAGGCTCAGTTGGGTGGGTGACTGCCTTCGGCTCAGGTCATGATCCTGGAGTCCCGGGATCGAGTCCCACATCGGGCTCCCTGCTCGGCAGGGAGTCTGCTTCTCCCTCTGACCCTCTTCCCTCTCGTGCTCTCTGTCTCTCATTCTCTCTCTCTCTCAAATAAATAAATAAATAAAACCTTAAAAAAAAAAAAAGAACTCTTTAAAGGTGTGATTTACATGCAATAAAACGCACCAGTTTTAAGTATAGCGTTCTGCGGGTTCTGACAAATGTGTGCATGGATGCCATGTCTCCACAACCAAGACAGGGACCTTGTGTAACCCCCCAACTTCCCTTAGGGCTTTCTGCAGTTACCCCGGCTCCAGGCAACCAGTGACCCACTTTCTGTCACCAAAGATTAATTTGGCCTGCTTCAGAATTTCCAATAAATGGAATCACACCATAGTATTCTTTTGTGTCTAGCTATTTCACCCGGGATCATGTTTTTGAGATTCATTCCTGTTGTTCATATATCCTCAGTTCATTCCTTTTTATTTAAAAGGCTGATTTTTTTTTGAAGGAGCCAACAAATGTTCCATGGACCACTCAGGAAGAGGAGCAGATCGAGGAGGTCCCTCTGGTCTACAAATTCTATCAACTTGCCCAGGAAGTGTAGACCCGAGGACTGCGTCAGGTTGGTCCGGATCACATTTAAGAAGCGGCCAGACCCATGAATTTCTGAGCTGCAGGAGCCCAGGAGGACAGGGAGTGATGAAGCCTCAGTGAATGACAGGACATATGAGAGAGAATGACAGGGCTATTTGTTCGGTTCCGTTATGAGCTCAGCAAAATGTGACAATCCTGGGAAATATAATTATGTATTGCTGTATTTATATGTGCGTTTGTCTCAGGGGAGCCGGCAGGGAGTGGTGGGTGGCAGAGTGGGGTCCTGCAGGACTGGAGTGGGCAGAGATTACCGGGTAAAGTGTAGGCCATGGCGGTTGTGTAGCCGGTACATAAGAATTACAATGAGAGCTAATATTTACTGAGCACTCCCTAGGCACCTGGCACTGTGCACCATTCCTTAGACTCACTGCATCCTATGAGGCCAGTGCCTTTGTCTCTGCCCGTGTCCCTTATCATATTCCTTTTTAAAAGGATTTTATTTATTTGACAGGGGGTGGGGGGCGACAAGCAGGGGGAGCGGCAGAGGGAGAGGGAGAAGCAGGCTCCCCGCCGAGTGGGGAGCCTGATGCGGGGCTCAATCCCAGGACGCTGGAATCATGACCTGAGCCGAAGGCAGACGCTTAACGACTGAGCCAGCCAGGCGCCCTCCCCGCCTTACCATACTCCTGCACACTTATCACTACGAGCTGTGTGCCCCCAGCAACCAGCGTGGTGGTGGCTCCGTGTTGGGGGATAGTCCTTGAGCCCCTGGAACTACCTAGCATCCCAGCCTGGAGAGCAGAAGTGCCTGGGACCTACAGGTAACCAAACAGGGCAGGGGACAAGCACCCCAGATCCCCGTGTCACCAACCTTACCTCTAGTTCTCTGGTCCATGGCATTTTGTTTGACTCGGCATTGCTTGGCCTCCTTCCGTTCCCTTTTTCTCAACTTTTTTTTTTTTTTTTTTTTTTTTTTTGAGAGATGGAGAGAGGGCAGCAGAGGCAGAAAGAGAATCACAAGGAGGAGCCAGTCACTGAGCTCAATCTCATGAGCCTGAGATCACGACCTGAGCTGAGAGAGCAAAGAGCCCAACGCTTAAGGGACTGAGCCACCCAGGTGTCCCTACTCCTCAACTTCTGAAGCAGTGGTTCCTGGGGCTTCTTCCTAAAAAATCACGTTCACATGAATCCTCCTCTTGGGGTCTGCTGCTTGGGACCCCAAACTTAGAGTACTGTTGCTACAGTCGTTTTACAAATAAGGAAACTGATACTCTCTCTCTCTCTCTCTCTCTCACACACACACACACACACCCAGCTAGATGGTACTCATCTGTCAGACAAAAATCTGAACTTCACTTTCTTAGGCAGCTTTCCCTGACTCCCCATCCACTGGAAGTTCCCTGCTTATGTTCTCAGGATCATCCTTTGTAGCACCAATTTCCAGTTCTCAGTTTGCAATGATCTGTTTGATTATTTCACCCGTGACCATTTCCCTTGCTAGACTGTAGGTTCCAGGAGGTCAGGAGGCTCTCGCCTGTATCCCCAGCACCCTAGCAGAGTTTCTAGAACACAGTAATTGCTCAATAAATTTTTACTGAATGAATGATTTGAAGTTTAATTTTCTCACAGGTGCTCACCGGCCTTCCGGATACTCCTCAGCCTCTGCATGGGCCAGAAATGCATAATATATAACCCACAGGGGTGACACAAGGCCTCCTGCCCACTTCCATTCTTCTGGGTATTTAGGGCAAGGTGACATTACTTTGCTCCGGGGGGACCGAAATTTACCATCAACTATGGAGCTGAATCCAGAGGTGAGCCTGGAAGGCTGAGTAAAATTTGAATGGATTATTAGCAGGAAATTTGAATACTATTTTAATGAACTATGATGCCATTTAAGTACATACACATCGTGAACTAAATACACATTCTTGGATCCCTGACCTTCTCATCAAGAGCACACGAGGTCCCGAGGTCTCATTAGGAAGCTGATAAGCAGCCTATTTCTTTCTACTCCAGAAAAATGACGATCCCCCAGCTATATAAAATTTACAAACGGCTTTGGAAGCATCTGTGGAGAAAGGTGCCATACGAATGTATGAGAGTATTGGAATAGATGCTGATTGAGAGATTTCCCAGGTGGATAGTTAAAATATACCCGGGCACCCACATACACTCATACCCCACACTCAGAGTACTTTCTGCTCTGATCAGCGGGGATACATTTTCCTACTTGACAGTTGACTGTAAATCAAGAAGTGTGTTTTAATACTCACTAGCTTTCTGCTGCTGTGTGCGGCTGTCTCAGGCAATCCTTCACCTCCTGGGACACAGGACCTGAAGGATCGTGGCACCTTCCCTCCATTGCTCATGGAAAGGTGGCGCTCAGCAGCAAGGTAAATACGGGCATGCTATATGTGAGTGGTGAATATAAATAAGTCAGGATAGCCTTAGAAAATCTCACCTCTGGATCCACCATTTTTCTTATCAATAGGTAATAGAATAAGAAATCATGAGTTTCCCGGGTTTTTTACCAACTCAAAACAAAATACTTTTGTAACAGTATAAAAGCTGGAGAGTATGTGACCGTCAATAAATGCTGAGTAAATAATTTTGAAGGTAAACACATGCCCTTATTTCCACAAACCCCGATTACTGGACTAGATAACTGAACTTGCTCCTCTTGACTTTATCCCTTGTAATCCTGCCCATTAATGTTTGCTTGGAGGAGTTCAAATAAACCAGGCTGTTCCACACCCCAGTACCTTTGCACGTGCTACCTTTTGCGCCTGGACTGGAATGCTTCCCATTAATCCAGGTGGGCTGGGGACACTTTCTGATATTTCACTACCCGGGTCCAGGATAACCTTTCATTTCCTTTAGGAAGCTTTTCTTGACACACTCTCCCACTCCTAGAACTGCCACTTTATCCCGCACAAGTGCACATATCTATTTAACACAAACATGACTGGGCTCTCTCGGGAAGTCCCTGCTCACACCCTGTACATTTTGAGGCCATAATCAATACTCCATTGCTACCCAGTTGTCCCCTTGTGACTTCTCAAGCCTCTTCCCAAAGCATTTTGAGTAATGTATATTTTATTGAAATGTTCACAAGGGAGGTAAGTGGAGGGCTTCCACTGAACACCATACGGCCAAACTTCATAAAATTGCTGCCATTCCAAAAGCCTTTTCTCTCATTACCAGCAGGCTTCTCTCTGCTGTCTCCTTCCTTCTCTATTCTCCTCTGACCTCCTCCCGCCTGCATGCCTCGCGGTCACCCCAATTCCATTTAGCATTTCAGCCCTTTCAACCCTTTCTCCTTCATAAAGGAGAAATCCTCAAAATCCTTCACATCCTTGAAGTTTTAGGGCCTTTCATCAAACAAACTCTCTCTTTGAGATCCCTCTTAAAGGGCAAGGGTAACAACACCAAATACATTTCTTCTCTTTCTGCTAAAGACTGGAGCACCTTGAGGGTAGGAATCAACCTATACACCTTGGTGTCTCCCATGCAAAATATTTAAGATATTTGTGAAATGAAATGAAAGGATAAAAGAACATAGCCACAGATTAAAAGCCCTCAAGTTCCACCGTGACCACGGTTTTTCTTCTGCTCAAACACCTTCCATACCTTCTCCACTCCTGCCCCGGCCAACTGCCACTTCTCCCTGACTCTAGCACTCTGTTCAGCTGTGAGGAGCCCTCTCCCCTCAAGGCCACTGTGCATAATCTTGCCTTCAGGTGTTCACTTCGGTCGTCTCTCCAGGCCTGGAATAACCGATGTCACTCACGAGAGTGGTTGGTGGTGGGGTTACCATCACCCCATTGAAGGCCAAGGTGGAGGCAATCGGTCTGGTCTTGTAGGTCCATTCAAGTCCTTCCCACTCTTCAAGGCTCAATGCCCAGCTGACCCCCGGATATGTCACTGAGGTCTCCAGTCTAGACATAATTCACTCTCGAGTCCTCAGGTTAGAAGCCTTGACTGCAGCCATTCTGGTGGCACTGAATTATCCAGACTTACATTATTGTGGAGTTGGGGGTATGAGGTTTTGAAGTCATTCCTCTTCCCAGAATGTGGTTGTGATTATACGTAGTGACTAATATTTTCAGGTCTTTTGCCCATTATCTTACCCCTTGAAGTTATGTGGTTATGTGTGCCCTTTTAACTTGCTTTGCCCAGTGAAAGGTAAGCAGAACTGAGCCCCTTTGGGGAAGAAGCTTGCAGAGGAAGAAGCATTAGGAGCTGGTGAGTGATTGATCACGCTGTCTTCCCCTCAACGCAGTGACTGGCAGCGTTAGAGGTATCTGGGGGACTGTTCACTAGCCTGGGGTCTTGGGTAAGGGTCCAGCTGATTCACAATGGGCACGTGGTGTGAGCAAGCAGTCAACCGTGGTGGTGTTGTACCAGCTCGATTCAGAGGTTATTTGAAAATTAATTACATAAATAAAGTGGCATGATAGCACCACCTGTCCTACCCAGACTGTAAGTTCCTTGTGGGCGGCACGCATGCACAAGTGACCTTTCTATCCCCCAGAGAACATAGCACAATGCCCCCTGGACATTCAAAAACTTTTGCTGACTGAGTATATATACTGAGATAAGGTACATATAGGAGACTGGAGAGTAGAACTTGGTGTCAGGACGTCAACCTGAGACTTTGGTCTCCGGAAATTCTAAAGAAATGCCCCAGATGATTCCAACAGTATTCTACTAAGATCTTCACAAGCGAAGAGGCAGAAGAGCATAATGATAGGAACCTGGGCTCTCACACTGGACTGGCCTGGGTTTAAGGGCAAGCTCCACCAGGTACTTGGCTGCATGACCGGGGGCCCGTTATTTCAGCTGTTTGAGTCAGGAGTAATATCACTACCTACTATATAGGATTATTGTGGGGATTAAATGAGAGAACGTATGTAAAGCTCCTGGCACATAATGAATGGGCAACCAACGTCATTCTCTTAGGCTCTCCTCCCATCAAATGTGTGTGGGTTGTATGAAATCTTGCTTAATTCTCTGGGAACTACTTCCCTTCATTTACTCCCTCTGAGATCTTGGTCACTTGCCTAGTCCTTGAATTGATTTAGCTTGGTCTACCTCAGATCCCTGGGGTTTTGCTTTTACTGCCCCATGCACACTCTGGTATTCTGAGAAATTCCATCTGCAACTGGCCAGAGTTGGCAGTAGCCCTTGGCAAAGGACTCTGATGGTGGTGGTGGGGGGGGGAGGGGGAGAATTTTTGTGACCTGCTCTCTGCTGCCAAAATGTTAAACAGGGCCCTCGATGTGGTGGGTAGTCAGGGAGGTGATCTTCGTGGGGCAGAAAGAATTGAGGGTGTCATGGTGACCAGTTCCAAGGAAGCCCTACCTTGGGCCCTGGCTCTCATAGCAGATGATCCTTCTATTGAACCCTGGGATCCTATCTGTGACGGTCGCAGGGACATCTGTGAATTTGTCAATGACTGACTCCTTCCGTAGGTTGGGGCTTGGTATGGTGCCTGAGGGCTTGTGTTTTCTTGAACTCCCAGCCTAGCGAGCCTTGTGTTTTCAGGTTCATGTGTTGTCCCCGACTGAGTCCTTGAGGCTACCTCTGTCCACGTCCCCCACCCCGCCTCCCCGTGAGCCAGCGGCAGGGTGAGGTAGCATGTCCAACCACTCCAAAGGTGCTTGTGTAACTTGTTTTTCAAAGTCTTGGCAGGAGCCACAGTGCTGAAGTGAGAAAGGCTGTTTACATTCTAGAAGAGCAATCCTGAGAAATGTCTTGCATCAGGGCTGTTCCCAACCAATCCCTGCTCCCTAGCAGCTTCTTTCTCTCTGGGATGGCTTGGGACCTAGAAGGAAGGAGCCTGAGCGTGAAGAGGGTAGGCTATAAGGAAACATTCATCAAACCCCAGGGCTCTGGCGCCCCCTTGTAAACTGCCCTCCCTTGAAAGGCAGGAAGCATCTTGAGAACAAGGCTTTTGTTACCCCAGTGTTTGGTGCAGTGGCTCGCACTGAGTGCAGTGCTAGGTGCCCGTGCTCAGTAGACATTCATTAAGTCAATAATGGTGCAAATGTGTAGGCAAGAAAACATTTGAGAGGACACACTGGTGGAAGTTCTTAACTGATTCCAGTTACCAGCTTTCTCCGAACGGTACTTCCGCTACTAATAACAATCATTACTGTTTATTATCTAGTCGATGCCGTGCA